GCTCGAGCCACGTGCGGGGACGCTGCCATGTGGGTGCCGCGCAGAGGGGGTCAGCCTTTCCGCCTGCTGCTGCTCCTCCTCCTCCTCCTCCTGCTGGCTCTGCCTTCTAGCAGCAGGAGCACGCGCGCTCGGGACAGCCCTCGCGAGGTGCAGCGGGCTTCCCTGGCGCCCGGACCTGCCCCCTGCCTGCCTCTGCTCCGGGCCGGCCGTTTCCCCTTCTCCCGCCCGCATCTCCTCGTCCGACTCGCGCCTTCCCTGGGGCTGGCGATCCTTGGGCCCCGTGAGGGCACCCTGGGGGGCCGAAATCTGTGCAACATCTTCTGGTCGTTTGAATGCGCTGGAGGTCTGGGACTCCTGCTCTCCAGGCATCCGACGATGTGATTATTTTCGGTACGCGGGCCCAGGGATCCCGAGTTGTTGTTGTTGTTGTTGTTGTTGTTGTTGTTGTTGTTGTTGCTGTTGTTGTTGTTGTTGTTGTTGTTGTTGTTATTGTTGCTGTTGTTGTTGCTGCTGTTTTTGTTGTTTTTGTTGTTGTTGTTGCTGCTGCGGCTGTTGTTGTTTTTGTTGTTATTGTTGTTGTTGTTGTTGTAATTGTTGTTGTTGTTGCTGCTGTTGTTGTTGTGATTGTTGTTGTTGCTGCTGCTGTTGTTGTGATTGTTGCTGTTGTTCTTGCTGTTGACTTCTCATTCTGGAATAGCTTTGGTTGATCCACTCTCGCCCGTTCACATCGTGTTTTTCAATGGAAGTGCCCCCCTCGGGGCTCGCTCCCTGTTTCGGGGGAAATCTTGCTGCTCAATCTAGATGTGTTGAGCCCCGAACTGCAAGAACAACGGCTCCCGCCTGATACTTCCTCACATGTTATCTCAAAATCTTGCTCTCGCGCGGGACGTCCTCACATTTTTTGCAGGAATCGCGCTCTCGCGTGGGACGTCCTCGCCATTTATTCGGACGCCGCGCCCTCGACGCTCAGGAATTACGCTCTCGCTTTGGCCTTCCTCACGATTTACTTCGGAACCGCGCTATCGCTCGAGCTTTTTCTCGCGATTCATGCAGGACTCACGCTTCAGCAAGCTGCCCTCTCGACCTGGCCGCCTGGGCCCGTCTTCCCGACCCGCCCGCTAGGGTCTGCCCGCCCGATCTGCCCGTCTGGTTCTGCCACGTGTTTTCTGCTCCTAGCCCCTCTACTGCTAGTTTTTCTCGTGCTCCATCCTTCTCCCTCCCCCTTCCATCCGTCCTCGCTTCCCTTGTTTTAGGGGCTGCGATACATGCGCGTGGCAGATAAGAGCGATCAATCTTAAGCTGATTGTTGTTGTTGTTTGCTGCTGCTGCTGTTGCTGCTGCTGCTGTTGTTGTTCTGGTTGTTAGACCTTAATTGCAAAACCGTTTGTCTTGTTGGGCCCCTTAGATCCGCCGTGGCGCTCTCGCAAAGGCACTGGCTGCAGTCCTTTGGAATCGAGGCTCACGCTCAGGCTTTTTGGGGTTTCGCCAAACGGGCCCCCTAACAGCAACAACGCTCTGTCTCCATACGTCCTCCTTTTTCTTCAAGCCCAGTGCATTCGCTCGCTGCCGAAAGCCGGCTTTCCCACCAGATCAGCGCTCCAGCTCAGTACTTCCTCGCCTTTTACGCAGGATCGGCGCTCTCGCCTCGGTGCCGAAAGCCGGCTTCCCCACCAAACCAGCGCTCTAGCTCGATACTTTCTTGTTTTTTACGCGGATCGGCGCTCTCGCCTCGGCGCCGCAAACGGCCCACCATTACAACAACGGCGCTCCCGCTCGGGTTTTCCTAGCGTTTTACTCAAGCCTGCGGCCGTCGTGTCGGAATGGCCTCTGGGGGCCTTCCAGAGTCAATGTGGGTGGGAGCTCAATTATTAAACAAGTAATATTGTTAGAAATCCTGAATACGCCTTGGGGCACTCGCCTGGGCGCCGGCTGCATTTCCTGCGAAGTAGAAACTCACGCTCAAATGTTTCGGGGTCCCGCCATGCCGGCCCCTCCAACAACAACAACAACATCATCAACAGCAATAACAACCACAGCAACGGCAACAGCAACAGCAACAGCAACAGCAACAACAACAACAACCACAACAACAACAACAACAACCACAACAACGGCAACAATAACAACAATAACAGCAACAACAACGTCAACAGCAACACTATCAACACTAAGAACAATAACAACACTTATTTAAAGTCTGTTCGCTCTTATTTGCTCGAGTGTCCGTCAACTGGTATTTCCCAAGCCCTCGGTAACCCGCCCTGTTTGTCTTCGAGCGTACCCCTTTGGGAATCTACTTTTCTTCCCTTCAGGCCAGGCCCCGGCAAGCGGCGGGGCGGCCGCGGACCGTCGGCCTGGCAAGCGTCAGCGCTGGTCGGCGGCAGCCCGACCCCAAGAGGGACGGACAGGGGACCGACGACGACGACGACGACGACGACGAGCGAAAGCGAGAGCGAGAGTGAGAGCGAAAGCGACAGCGGGGCCACGAAGGGCAGGAAGGGGGCCACGAAGGGCGACGGCGGGGCCACGACGGGCATGCGCATGGGGCCGCGAAGGGCGCGAACGACCAGGGGCCACGAAGGGCAGATAATGCGGGGCCACAGAGGGCAACGACTGGGCCGCTGAGGGTAGCATCGGGGCCACGTGGGGCAGCGAGGGGGCCACGAAGGGCGACGGCGGGGCCACGACGGGCATGCGTATGGGGCCGCGAAGGGCGCGAACGAGCAGGGGCCACGAAGGGCAGATAATGCGGGGCCACAGAGGGCAACGACTGGGCAACTGAGGGTAGCAATAGGGCCACGTGGGGCAGCGAGGGGGCCGCGAAGGGCGACGGCGGGGCCGCGAAGGGCATGCGTACAGGGCCATGACGGGCGCGAACAAGCGGGGGCCACGACTAACATGAAATATGGGGCCACGAAGGGCAGCGAGGGGGCCGCGAAGCGCTGCAACGGGGCCACGAAGCGCAGCGAGGGGGCCGCGAAGGGGTGCGATGGGACCACGAAAGGCAGCGAAGGGGCCACGAAGGGCTGCAACGGGGCACGAACGGCAGCGAGGGGGCCTCGAAGGGGTGCAACGGAGCCACGAATGGCATCGAGGGGGCCACGAAGGGTTGCAACGGGGCCACGAGGGGCAGCGACGGGGCCACGAAGGGCTGCCACGGGGCCACGAAGGGCAGCGAAGGGGCAACGAACAACGAAGGGCTGCAACGGGGCCACGAAGGGCAGCGATGGCGGCCACGAAGGTCAGCGAGGGGGCCACGAAGGGCAGAGATGGGGGCCACGAAGGATTGCAACGGGGCAACGATGGGCAGCGAGGTCCCGATTCCTAAGTCGTGAGGGAATCGTAAGCGTGAGCGCGACTCCTGAATGCCTGAGTGTCGGGAGCGCGGCGCTAGAGTAAACCGCGGGAAGTTGCAACGCAAGAGCGCGATTCTTCAGTACATTGCAATGGAGTCTCCAGCGAGAGCGCGACTCCACAGCGCCGAGGGAACGATCCATCAATGAACTGTAAGGAAGTAACATGCGAGGAGGTCTCAGGCGGGAGCGGGGGTCCTGGCTAAATTGTGAGGAAGTTTCAGGCGTGAGCCGTTGTTGTTGTTGTTGTTGTTGTTGCTGTTGTTGTTGTTGTTGTAATCTGGCGGCCAACAACCCAGTTTGAGCCCCGTGGCTTTCCCTGATGATAAGACAGGGTGCGAGTCCTGGAGGAAGCACTTCAATTGAAAAACGTAGAACGGTCACCGGAGGGGGATCAGCCATATTTTTTCGGTAATTCGAGTTCAACAGCAACAGCACCACCACCAACAACAACATCAACACTAACAACACCAACAACAACACTAGTCATACCAACATCAACAACATCAGTATCATCAACAACAGCATCGACAAACCAACATCAACAACAACATCAACACCAACATCAACACCAACGACAACACCAACAACACCAACATCAACATCAACACCAACAACAGCACCACCACCACCAACAACACCAACAGCACCAGCAGCAACACCAAGACCACCACCAACACCAACACCAACAGCAACACCAACACCAACAACACCAACACCAACACCAACAACAACACCACCACCAGCAACGACAACACCAGCAGCAACAACAATCATGCTCCCGTTCGATACTTCCTCACTTCTTCCTTTTGTGCTCAGGCTCGCTTTGGGGGGCCTTACGGAAGGTCCCGAGAGAGCGAAATGAACTGCGGTCCTTCCCGGCGGGATGCGTGGTCCTTTTGGCCTCTCCTCCTCTTCCTCTTCCTGTCTCCTCTTCTCTCGTCCTCCTCTTCCTCTTTCTCGAGAGCCTCGTCCTCCTTGTTTTTTTCCTTTCCTTTCGTCTTTCTGCGCAGCTCCGGGCCTTGCGTGGGCCATGGTGGGCGCGGAGGGATGATCAAGGAGGGTTCATCGTCAGGTTGACTGGGCGTGGGGACCGCCGCTATGACAATCTGCATGGGTTTAGCTTCTCTGCGTGGCTGCTCGCGTAAAGACGCGCGGACATCGTGTAAGCCGTGGTAGATAAAACGACGACGACGACGACCTAAACGACGACGACGATGACGACGACGTCAGCGGCGACAACGACGACGACGACGACGACCACGACCACGACCACGACCACGACCACGACGACGGCAGCGGCGGCGGAAGCGACGACGACGACGACGGCGAAGCGGCATCTTTCAGTTTTTCTTGCGCCCGTGGGTTTGCCCGAGGGGCCAGGGAAGGAGCAGTGTCTCCTTCTTCTCTCTTCTGTCTCCTCCTTCTTCTTCTTCTCCTCCTCCTCCTCTTCCTCCTCCTCTTCTCCTCAGTGAAGCATGGTGCGGGCAAACTGATTTCGAAGATGATGTGCTGCTGAGCAGGTATTTTGAAATTACTTAGAAGAGGTGTTCGCGAGACCTCCTTGGGCGGGAGTTCTGGGTGTGGGTATATCGGGCCCCCCATGCGCCAATAACATAATCCCCCGTGATGGGGGTAGTTATCATGATGTATGCATGTGGTATGTGGAAACATGTCCTTCGTGGCCCCGTTGCAGCCCTTCGTGGCCCCGTTGCAGCGCTTCGTGGCCCCGTCGCTGCCCTTCGTGGCCCCGTTGCAGCGCTTCGTGGCCCCCTCGCTACCCCTCGTGGCCCCGTTGCAGATCGCGCTATCGCACTCTTCAGCAACCTGCTTGCTCGACCTGGCCGCTTGGGCCCGCCTTCCCGACCCGCCCGTTCGGGCCTATCCGCCCGATCTGCCCGTCTGGTTCTGCGATTTGTTTTCTGCTCCTAGCCCCCTTCTGCTACTGTCTCTCTCTCTCTCTCTCGTGCTCCATCATCCTCCTTTCCCCTTGTCCCTTCTTTCCATCCGTCCTCTCTTTCCTTTCCTTGGGAGCTTCGTGAAATACACGTCGCAGGTAAGCGCGATACAGGTGTCGCGCCTGGCGGCGCCAGAGCTCCTCGGCTTCGCCGAGGGGCTCGGCGCCGCAGGATGGCCGGCTGCGCGTAGCCGCAGCTGGCGCGGGCTGAGGCCAGCTGGCCGCGCGGGCCGACGCGCCTCCCTTGCCCTCCCGTCTCCGCCTCTCCCTGCCCCGCGCGCCTCTGTCGTTCGTCTGTCGTCCGTCGTCCTCGTCGTCGTGTCGTGTCCTGTCGTTGCCACCGGGCTCTTCTTGCGCTCGATAAGAGCGATTAATATGAAACTGATTGTTGTTGTAGTTAGCATTGTTGTTGTTGATGGTGTTGCTGTTGTTGCTTATGTGGCTGCTGTTGTTGAACATTATTTATTCTAAAGAATAATTATTGTTGGGCCCCCTGGTGCGCGCCCCCCCTGCGCCGCCTAGGCCGCAGCTACATTTTCATCGTTTTCGTGAGGAAGCCTCAGAAAAGAGGGTGTGTACAGGATCCGGTTGTTTTGTTGTAATCCGCTTTCCCTTGCAAAAAACAATAGAAAATGACATTTCTTGTTCTAATATAATCAAATTTCAAGAATCCCTTGCAAAAAATAAGGTAAAGTGGACATTCGCGCGCGCAAGACGAAATCCTTCCAAAACCTTAGTGTTCGCAGCGATTTTAACATAAAAACATCAAAAAACAATGGTTTTTCAACAAAAAAATGTCAAAATCTCATCCCGCGCGCTCTTGCGGATTCGTAGGAAACCCAACACTTTTTAAACATTTCTGTCAAACGGGCTTTTGCGAGCAACTTTTTCGAACTTCTGCAACAACGGTTGCGCACCTGCCAGGGCCATCATCCCTGTCAAATAATACCATGCGGGACACATTCGTTTTTTCTTCGCGCGCGCACGCCGTCGTCGTCGGCCGCGGGGCCCTGAATAGTAGCCACGGTCGTCCGCATGCCACGAAGTGAAGTGTCCGAACGTCATAGGGCGGGAAGCTGGGTGTGGGTGGTGGCGAAGAGTCGTTTGGAAATTTGGTAGAGCTTGAACCGGCCCCCCCACAAAGTGGGGATATTGCCCGCCTCCTATGAAAACCCTGGCACTGGTGAGAACGGAGTGTCCCCACGTGCTAGTAATTGTTGTTGTTGTTGTTGTTGTTGTTGTTGCTGCTGCTGCTGCTGCTGCTGTTGTTGTTGTTGTTGTTGTTGTTGTGGTTGTTGTCGTGGTTGTTGTTGTTGTTGTTGTTGTTCTTATTTTTGTGATCGTTATTGTTGTTGCTGTTGTTGCTGCTGCTGCTGCTGCTGTTGTTGTTGTTGTTGTTGTTGAACATTATTACTTCTAAAGAATAATTATTGTTGGGACCCCTGGTGCGCGGCCCCCCCGCCGCGCCTAGGCCGCAGCCACGTTTCCATCATTTTCGTGAGGAAGTCTCAGGCAAAACGGGTTGGTCCGGATCCGGTTGTTTTGTTACGGGCGGTTTTCCCTTGCAAAAAATCCGCTAAAGTGGACATTTCTTGTTCTAACATAACCAAACTTCAATAATCCCTTGCAAAAAATGAGGTAAAGTGGACATTCGCGCGCGCAAGACGAAATCCTTCCAAAACCTTTATTTTCGTAGCGATTCTAACATAAAAACATCAAAAAACCAATGGTTTTTCAAAAAAAAATGTCAAAATTTCATCCCGCGCGCTCTTGCGGATTCGTAGGAAACCCAACACTTTTTCAACATTTCTGTCAAACGGGCTTTTGCGAGCAACTTTTTCAAACTTCTGCAACAACGGTTGCGCACCTGCCAGGGCCATCATCCCTGTCAAATAATACCATGCGGGACACATTCGTTTTTTCTTCGCGCGCGCACGCCGTCGTCGTCGGCCGCGGGGCCCTGAATAGTAGCCACGGTCGTCCGCATGCCACGAAGTGAAGTGTCCGAACGTCATAGGGCGGGAAGCTGGGTGTGGGTGGTGGCGAAGAGTCGTTTGGAAATTTGGTAGAGCTTGAACCGGCCCCCCCACAAAGTGGGGGTATTGCCCGCCTCCTATGAAAACCCTGGCACTGGTGAGAACGGAGTGTCCCCACGTGCTAGTAATTGTTGTTGTTGTTGTTGTTGTTGTTGTTGTTGTTGTTGTTGTTGTTGAAGATTATTACTTCTAAAGAATAATTATTGTTGGGGCCCCTGGTGCACGACCCCCCCGCCGCGCCTAGGCCGCAGCCTCATTTTCATCATTTTCGTGAGGAAGTCTCAGGCAAAACGGGGGAGTCCGGATCCGGTTGTGTTGTTACGATCGGTTTTCCCTTGCAAAAAATAAGCTAAAGTGGACATTTCTTGTTCTAACATAACCAAACTTCAAGAATCCCTTGCAAAAAAAAAGGTAAAGTGGACATTCGCGCGCGCAAGACGAAATCCTTCCAAAACCTTAGTTTTCGTAGCGATTTTAACATAAAAACATCAAAAAACCAATGGTTTTTCAAAAAAATTGTCAAAATTTCATCCCGCGCGCTCTTGCGGATTCGTAGGAAACCCAACACTTTTTAATCATTTCTGTCAAACGGGCTTTTGCGAGCAACTTTTTCGAACTTCTGCAACAACGGTTGCGCACCTGCCAGGGCCATCATCCCTGTCAAATAATACCATGCGGGACACATTCGTTTTTTCTTCGCGCGCGCACGCCGTCGTCGTCGGCCGCGGGGCCCTGAATAGTAGCCACGGTCGTCCGCATGCCACGAAGTGAAGTGTCCGAACGTCATAGGGCGGGAAGCTGGGTGTGGGTGGTGGCGAAGAGTCGTTTGGAAATTTGGTAGAGCTTGAACCGGCCCCCCCACAAAGTGGGGGTATTGCCCGCCTCCTATGAAAACCCTGGCACTGGTGAGAACGGTGTGTCCCCACGTGCTAGTAATTGTTGTTGTTGTTGTTGTTTTTGATTCCCCCCCACATATGTATTGTTGATCCCCCGGTGGCTATTGTATTTTGTCAATTGAAGTGCCCCCTCGTGTCTCGCACCCTGTTTTAAATAAGGGGAACCTTGGTGTTACCAAATCGCGCTGTTGGGCTCCGAGATACAAAAGCAACGGTTCCCGCCTGACATCTCTTCACAATTTATTCTGAAATCTTGCTCTCGCGAGGGACGTCACATTTGTTTGCAGGAATCGCGCTCTCGCGTGGGATTTCCTCGCCATTTATTCACACGCGCGCCCTCGACGCTCAGGAATTACGCTCTCGCTTTGGCCTTCGTCACGATTTACTTGGGAATCGCGCTGTCGCTCGTGCTCTTCTCGCGACTCTTGCAGTACTCACGCTTCAGCAGCACGCCTTCTCGACCTGGCCGCTCGGGCCCGCCTTCCCGACCCGCCCGTTAGGGTCTACCCGCCCGGAGGGCCTGTCTGGTTCCGCCACGTGTTTTCTGCTCCAGCCCCTCTCCTGCTCATCCCGTGCTCCGTCCTTCTCTTTCCCGCTTCCACCCGTTCCTCTTCCCCTGTTTCAGGTGCTGTATTAATTACACGCGTCAGGTCTGGAAGATATATTCCCCCGTGGATTTTTTCAGGCAACGGAAGAACTCTCTGATTTCCCATTCGTAGTCGGCCATTTGGCCAGTCGGCCAGTCGGCCAGTCGGGGAGTCGGACAGTCGGCCAGTCGGCCAGTCGGCAAGTCGAGTCGGCCAGTCGGCCGGTCGGTCTGTCGGAAAGTCGGCCAGGCGGCCAGGCGGCCAGGCGGCCAGTCGGCCAGTCGGCCAGTCGACCAGTCAGCCAGTCGGCCGCTTGGCCAGTCGGCCAGTCGGCCAGTCGGCCAGGGCCAGTCGGCCAGTCGGCCAGTCGGCCAGTCGGCCAGTCGGCGAGTCGGCAATTCGGCCAGTCGGCCAGTCGGCCAGTCGGCCAGTCGGCCCGTCGGCCAGTCGGGGAGCCAGGCCAGTCGGCCAGACGGCGGACGGCTAGTCGGCCTTTCGGCCAGTCGGCCGGTCGGTCTGAGGGGAAGTCGGCCAGGCGGCCAGGCGGCCAGGCGGCCAGTCGGCCAGTCGGCCAGTCGACCAGTCAGCCAGTCGGCCGCTTGGCCAGTCGGCCAGTCGGCCAGTCGGCCAGTCGGCCAGGGCCAGTCGGCCAGTCGGCGAGTCGGCAATTCGTCCAGTCGGCCAATCGGCCAGTCGGCCAATCGGCCAGTCAGCCAGTCGGCCATTTGGCCAGTCGGCCAGTCGGCCAGGCGGCGAGTCAGGGTATCGGCCGACTGCCCGTATTATAACAACAGCGACTCCCGCCAGGTACTTCACGCTTTATTCTGTCGCACAGGGTGTCTAGAGCTCCGACCACTTTATCTCGGCACGGCACCCCCTCCATCACCCACACATTCCACCAGCCAGCGCGCCTCTCCGCCCCGACCCCGTTTCTTTCGGCACGGCACACTCCTCCGCTCCAGCCCCTTTATTTCGGCACGGCACACCCCGTCCGCATCCCCCCACCCACCAGCCAGCGCGCCCCTCCGCCCCGACACCTTTATTTCGGCATGGCACCCCCCCCGCATCCCACCACCCACCAGCTAGCGCGCCCCCTCCGCCCCGACTCCTTTATTTCGGCACGCCCCCCCCCCCCCCGCGCGCACCCTCCGCCCCGACTCCTTTACTTCGGCACGGCACACCCCTCCGCCCCGACCCCTTTATGTCGGCACGACACACCCCCTCCGCATCCCCCCCACCCACCAGCCAGCGCGCCCTCCGCCCCGACCCCTTTATTTCGGCACCCTCTCTGCCCCCACGCCTTTTTTGGCCCCTCCGCATCCCCCCCCCCGCCCGCCAACCAGCGCGCCCCTCCGCCTCGACCCCTTTATTCGGCAAGGCACACCCTTCCGCCCCGACCATTTATTTCGGCACGGCACACCGCCTCCCCATCCCCCTACCCACCAGCCAGCGCGCCCCTCCGCCCCGACCCATTCCGGCACGGCCACCCCTCCGCCCCGACAATTTATTTCGGCACGGCCACCACTCCGCACCCCCCCACCCGCCAGCCAGCGCGCCCCTTGCCCCGACCCCTTTATTTCGGCACGCCTCCTCTCCGCCCCGACCTTTTCGGGCATCGCCACACCCTCCGCCCCGACCCCTTTACCACGGCTCCCCCCACTTACCAGCCAGCGCGCCCCCTCCGCCCCGCGACCCTCATTTCGGCACGGCCCCCACTCCCTCCCGCGCGCCCCGCGCGCCCCCTCCGCAACCCACCAGCCAGCGCGCCTCCCGCCCCGACCCCTCTATTACCCCCCCCACCCACCCACCCACTCACAAGCCAGCGC